ACTCGAAAGGCCGACCAACAACTCCGCCATTGAGCTGAGTGGTCAAAAGTGGCCCCGGTAGCGTAATAGGGAACGCAGCTGCCACGGTAAGCAGAAGATGCGGGTTCGAATCCCGTCCGTGGTCCGACTTTTGCCCATAACTCAGCATTCTTGTGAAGATGAATGGATTGTTGGAAAAGCTGGCTGTGCTCTAATCCACGCACTCTCACGGAGTATTCTCGTTTGTAGGGACTCGAATGGCTGTACGTGGGTTACAGCATCGTGATGTGTGAGATGGTACGAGCCCCCACCTAAGGGAGGGTCTTAGTACGACCCTCCCCCTTCCCTTCCTCAGCACCTACCTACCACTTTCCTACAAGTTCCCGGCTTCCTACCAGTTTTTCGCCTCAGAATACTAGGGGGGGAGGGGGTTGGGCGTAAATAGCATATTAGAAACGGGAAAAATCGCGAAAAGTGAACAAATTTCTTTCAATAACGTACGACCCCTCTCCCAACAACGGAACACCGACCAAATACGACCCTTCCCCCTCCCAGTGGCCAACTACTGTACGGACTGAAGCCTATACTTTTCACCCTCTTAGTCGCCGCCCCTTGAAATTCATCCCACCTCTCCTACTTATTCCCACATTCTTTGACGTGGAGTCATAGAGAGTGTAATGGCAAGTAGCTCGCTCACGAACCGAGGAGTCAAATGCCGGATCGGTTCCCGTTTAGGCCAACCAATGCCTTCTATCCCCGGGGGCGGTAAATTGGTACCAGATTCGTCTGGGAGGATAAACACTGACTTGTACATCGGCTGGCCCCCGCAAGTCATTGGATAGGCCACATCGGCCCCCATGAGTCATTTGTGTAGGCCGCGCTGCATACAGTATGCCACTAAGACTCTTAGTGGAGGCAGAATGTGTGGCGAGAGCGTCAAAAAGGAATTGATCAACGGCAGAGGCTTCATCATATGATCGTTTTATTGAACGATATCCATGAGTAGGAAAATAGGAGTAGTAGCTTACAGCTCAGTTTTCAGGTAACACATCTCACATATGGGATATTTATCCGACCTTTGACATCTTCAAGGTGAGTACATTTGTGATGAATGGTGAACAGAAGAACTTGAAATATCGTCATCTACACAGGTGAATGAGTACGGTAACATTCTGGCGCAACTCACCGACAACGATGTCTACGATGCAGAAGCTGTTATTAGTCCAGATGGCAAGAAAATCCTCTATACCAGCAGGGAAAGTGGCGATCTGGACATCTACATTATGGATATTGATGGAACTAACAAGAAACAGGTGAAATCTGTTGCGTCTCG